ACAGTTGCACCTTCCTCCTCCCCTCATTGATAGTGAAGCATATGTGACTGGAATGCAGAGGAGCTAATCATTATTCCACGAGCAAAGCGTAGAACTCGGGCAGAATGTCAATCCCCCCCACCTCCTCCTTTGGTCTACTTCTTCCCTTTACTTCCCCTCCTTTTCATGCTTACCAAGCAATAGTTAACAACAGAACTGCATTTGTGTTCAACAAACATAAAATTAAGGAAATACAAACATGCATTAGTGATGGCAGACACTGGGCTTTTAACACCTGCTCCTCAGTGTATGTGTAATGGCTGAGTTAGGGTCACATTTATTCAGTGGATGGGGTTTTAAGTGTGCATGCGTCTGTGTGTATATTAGTTAGTTGTTATGTAAAAGTGCTGCACATCAATTTGTCAAGAGCAAAGTGGTGTGGGATGGAGATGAGAGAGAGAGACAGCTGTTGAATGCATATTTAGAGAGTGGAGAACAGAGAGTGACAGCAGAATTTCACTGGATTCACTAAGGCCTAACAGCCATTAATTGTAAAAGCGAACGTCTTTATTCCATTAATGGAAGTTATATTGTTCAATATTAAATTCATTCTCTGTAAAATGCTTATCTAATAGATTCAGTCACAATTTAATATAAATTGGAGTTTTATTGACCTTAAAGTGTTTTTTATTATTTGTGAGATAGATAGACATACATGAGTGCATAGCTGTGAAGATAAAGACAATGTTTAGCTTTTAAAGAGCATTAGTGGACTGATAAATGAAGGCCAAGAAACACCACACACACTACACAGGTCAGGAAAAAGCAATGTTGCAGTGAAAACAGAACAAATCAAGTTCAACTCACAGGTAATTCAAGGAAAGCATTAATCAGAGGAGCAAACAAGCTAACCCATCACTATTCTGGAGGAGCTGCAGAAATCCACAGCTCAGGTGAAAAACTCTGGCGACGACTAATACTGGTTTATAGCTTTTTGGAACAGTCTTGACAAACAAGCATATTTGCAAAATTCATTTTAAAGCCAAACCCTTGTCCTTGGGGACCATTGTACTTCATGTTTCAGATGTGTTCCTGCTTCAGCCCGTCAGATTCAAATGATTGTGTTAACACATTAGAATGTCATGAAGTTAAGCCTCTCTCCAATTGTGCTGACCTGGGAAATGCCATTCATGCTTTTATCACTGGATTCAGTTATTATTATGTTGTCTATATCTCTAAGCCTAAATCACCTTAAGCTTGTTTAAAACACAACTAGAAAACTCCCAGTGTCGTACATTATTGCAATTTTATAATTAACATCGGCTCCAAGTTCATTAAAAACATTTTTTCAATCTGTCTTTAGCCTCATGCGTCCTTATCCATATGAATTTCTAAGTGTTTGTGTGAGTGGAATGTCACTGAGATCTTCCAGTCAGCTTACATATTTCAAGCACGGAGCTGCAATGCTAAAATGACTCTTGACAGCCACACATTAGAACCAGCTTCCTTTGGACCATGATGCTATCGCCCAACCTGGGTCTTTTTAAAACCCAGTTAAAGACCTCTTTAGAAAGAGCTTCATTTTTTAAATTTTTTTTTTATTTTGGATCTTTAAAGTTAGGGGTTACGGTTAGCCAATAAAAGAATGCAATGTAAATATATGTGTGTGTTTTAATGACTGAGTCCCACCGCATCCTAGATAATTTTAATAATGAATTCTAAAGGCCACGTATTTCCTCCCCTTGAGAGTTATGTACTTCTTTTATTCGATCCATAACATAAAATTCCTACAATACACATAAGTTTGTGGTTTAATGTGAAAAACATATTTGATTTATATAAAACCTTTAGAAAGGCAGAATTTAAAAGAAGAAGTAGAGAAAAATTAGTCTAAGGGAGAATTAGACCTCGAACAAACACACCCTGGTGCTGCAGGCCGTGTGTCAGCGTGTTTGATGGAATGGGAGAGACAGCCCATGGAGATTCCTCCCGACTCCCTGAAAACTGCAGCTGAGGGTCACAGCCGGGGGTAAGGCTGCGTTCGGCACCCTTCAAAGCCCTACAGACATAAGCAATCCATGTGCGTATTCCAAAAAAATGTATTTTGAACCTACGAACTGAGCATTTGAGCAACAGATGCATCCCACTGTCCACACGGACACACCACATAGCCTGCGTAACCTTAGGGAAACGCTTGCGTGACATGGCTGCAGTCTAATAGGATCAAGCATGAGTGAGTAATAGGTGATCCAGCAATGTCCGCCCACTGGACACAGACATCTTGAGATGCGCATTATTTTACGAGATGCAAAGTGAATAGGTGAAAACATGATGATGATGAATAGTGTGGGGGCGGAGGCCATTTGAAAGCAAAATAGAGGAGACAGCTCAGCATTGTCACATGCTATTTTTGCTTCCTCGTTTGATTAGGCGACAGCTTGGTGGACAAACCAGTTTTGATTTTTCCAAAGGCTCCCATCTCCGGCTGGAGACACACAGAAGCCACACCATGCCGCTCTGCGTTCAAATAATGAATGGGAGTTGATTACTAATAGATTCTAGTGCTGGTCTGACAATTTGATTGGACGTTATGACTTATTATCTCTTTAAAGCATAACTCACAAATGCAGTTGTTAGCCAAGAGAGTGTTGACTCTAGCAATTAAAAAGCCACCTCATGTGCAGTGACAAAATCAATGATTCAACACGCTGTGGTGGGTTTAATAGCTTTAGAGGACACAAAGAGCTCAGGGGGTTTAAGGTTAAGGAAAAGATCTATATCGAAAACATAACTCGGACTGGGCAGAGAGCCTCGGATCCCGCTGCAGCTATGGGGACTGGAAATGCCGGGTGATGAAGGTGGGAAATGGAACAACGCATAGTGTGAGCAGCGTCACTGCAGGCTGCTGTCTACTTGCTGTTGGTGCATGCTGTTGTGAAGCTGTGCCTTATATGACTTTACATTATAAACACTGCAAAGGGTGTCAGCTTCATTCAACGGTGTCCTGCATTAAGTGTCAGAGCGCTCTGGTGAGAGGAGTAATGATGCTATGGGCGCGTATAAAACTATGGCATGTATGCACAATGCAAAGCAAGAGTTCAAATGACACAGTTCAAAATTCATTGCAACCCGTCCTGCTGTGTTTTCATTATTACAATCATTGGAGCTGACATTATCATTTTGCATTTTCATTAAAACAGTTTCCCCTATTTCAGTAATATGAAAACATTTTTATTCTCCATCAGGGGATCTGCAACGCCCTCTTAAAAAATAACAAACCGGTTTCTCTGAAAAGTGATTAATTTTTCCAGTTTGTTTAAGAACTTATTTATTTGCTTTTTGCTGTTAAATGATTATGCAGTTTATGTCAAACAGATACATTTTTGTTACTCAGGAGTTTGCCAATAAAATGCCTGCAACTTTTGAAGATTTTCTGTCATATTTTTTTAAGGCTAACAACAGTGACATACATCAGTTCTGCTGTTGAGAAAGTAGCTCCTTAGCATGTTACTGCCACTACCATGCCTCACAGTACAATGTCCACTATACCACCCCAAACATTTCTTTTCATTGCTGCCAAAAGTCAAATTTGTCTTATTTTACTTTATTCAGTAGCTGTACGATTACTAACTGTCATTATTGGATTTAGATCCAGGCTGAGGGAGTTGGCTTTGGATCAGGGACTTCTGTCTTGGTCACCAACTTTCCCCTCCATATTGGTGTAAAACACCCTTTTTTATGGGCTGGACACCATATTTTTTCGCAAGTGCCAGTTCAAAGAAAGCTGGAGCCTTGGGCTGCTGTACATCCTAACAGGTCTTTCTTAATCAGATGTGCTCCTCCAGAGCTTGGCAGCATACAGAAAGGTTGTACCTCTATAAAGCTAAGTACAATGTTGATATAGAGTCTCAAAATGTGTAGAGATCTCCAAAAGTCTTTTCCATCTTAATTAAATCTTTAATTTCTTCCTTTAGCCACTTAAGCTTCCGCTTAGTCTGTGTATTGCTCTGGTTATTGACTGTTGTCATATGAGTGCTTTTTATGTTTGGGGTGAGCTATACATGCAGTACACCGACTTAATTATTTAGATCCACCACTGTGGTATGATTTGAATGAACTTACTAAATATTAAGCCCAAAATATAATTGTTTCTAAACTCAATTGCTGTTGAATGCTGCGAACATCTAAAAAACAAAGTTTGAAAGCGTTAATCCTTTGTCAAAACCTGCAAATACTCGTCACTCCGTAGGTCTATGTATATATTTTCAGACTGAAAATACAATAAAATTTTTAAAGAGAGGTAACATTGTTGTGTGCATTTTAGTCACTAATATCTGTGGATCCTGGCTGTAAAGTCTGTTGTGGCTGTTATAAAACATAATTATAGGTGTTAATTTTGTCACATTGCAACTGACCACTGAAGGATTATTCTATTCTATTCTATTCTATTCTATTCTATTCTATTCTATTCTATTCTATTCTATTCTATTCTATTCTATTTTATTCATCTTAACTAATATATTATATAATCTTCAGAGCCATCAGAATCAAGTTTTTTTCATATTTTAGAATGCAAAGAAACTCCAAAATGTGAATAGTACCTAATGTCAGAACAAATATGCTGGTAGTATCAAAACATGACTTTAAATCTAAGTGAACCAGGGGTATAAATACCTCTGGGTTTTACTGTTAAGATTTGTGAAGCTGTAAGAGTGCTCTCATTGATTCACTCTGTGTGCGTAGATCGGCTATGAGGCGAGTCGTGTGGTGGTTTGATGGTGTTTGTCACCCCGAGCATGGAGCCACGTCAAACTTTGTTAGCCCAGTTCATCCTGGCCGAGGTTGTAACGCAGCTCCCTGATTTCCTCCTATCAACGATACGCTAGATGTGTGGAGATGCCTCAGATGTGGGTTGTCTCTTTATGAGCAGTTATGCCCTTGTTTCAAACGCCTTATCAGATGAACTGACAGAAAGAAGAAAGGATGAGGAGAGGGGGGGCAAATATTCATCTTATAGAAAAATACCTTGGAGGGAGAGAGAAAAGAGGAGTAAAGGAGTGGGTGTTGGGAAAGAGAAAAGAGGGAGAGGGAAGCGTGTGTGTGTGAGAGTGAGAGAGCTGATTAGATTGGAGAGAGCCAAGGAGGTATGGCTGTACTATTGAGCAGAGAGGGAGCGTGACTGAGTGAACGCAGAATCACAGCAAAGTCCTCAAGACGGCGGATGGACTGGACCTAAATCAACAAACTGACAAAGAAAATCTGGATGGATACCATGTATAAAGGATGAAGTATTTGCCTTAATGAGCGAGTATCTCTGCATCAGTGTTGCAAGGAATCCACCGGGAGAAAAAGGAAGGAAAAAAAATCAAAAACGGACAACTCGTTTCTCTCTCTTGGAAGGAGAGCTGTGAGCCGGAACAGAGTCAACGGTGGGACTCAGAGGGATTTTAAATATACTCTCAGTAAGTACGGACACAGGCAGGGAAGGAGCGTGTTTGAATGAATGTTTCAGGCTGCTTCTGATGGCTTTTTTTTCATCAAGATACCAGATAAAATGAAAAAAAGGGGGAAGCACACCAATGATTTTTCTGTTGTGACATGCAGTGTCAAATAGTATTTTTCCCCCTTTGATTTGAACAAGCAGCCCAGACTTGACTGTGCGTTTGTGCCTCTTCCTCAGTGCCGGGGTGTGTGTGAGTCAGTGTGTGTAAGCTGATAATAGCAGCTCCATTGGTATTCAGCGGAGGGAGCTCCAGGATCTCGCTGCGCCTTTTCCCCAGGATGGGATCACAGAGCAGGGATTGTGCTTGCCTGAGGAGAGCCCACTGAAATGGGTGAGTGTCTCTCCCCTTCCCCCTCATCCTCTCCACCTCCATCACTCCATCCTCATCATTCTTAAATGTATTACATCTCACCAGTTAACTCATCTACCTCTCATTATAGTTTTTATTTACAACCTTTATTTTTTTTGTACTTCTTAGGGGCTCCCTCTGTTTTTCCTGTGTCTCACCCACTCACCCTGCCGCTGCCCCACCTGTTTCCCCTCCATCTCCTCCCATCCCTACACCCCTCCATAATTCCCAAAACAGAACTGTCCAGTCTGATGGATTTGGTTAAAATTGCTCTGGCTCACTTCATTTTTGCCCTTGCCCCCATCCATACCACTCCACCACCACTACCGGCATTCCCTCTTTACCGCTCTCCCTCCTCGGCGGTGTCTCCCCTCCCCCCCTCTTCCTCTCTCTTCCAGCTCTTCTCCACATTCTGTTTGAATTCAGGCTCAGCAGAGATGTTAGAGTCTATCCTGACACAGCCAATCAGCAGTGATTGCTGTGTGTGTGTATGAGAGGATTGCTGTTTCTGTGCATGTGTCAATCACCCTTTTTTTGGTCCTTATTTTTGGTGTTTGCCTGGATCTCTGTCAGCCTCAGGGTTTTGGCCCAAACAAACAAAAGGTTATGAGGTAGATCAGTGTAATTAATTGCCTGCAGGATGACAGATGTGACACATGGCCCACCCCTTCTCATTTCTTTGAACTTCACACTGATATACCTTCTGCACACCAATTCACACCCATCTAAATCTCTTCACACCTGCAATGACATGGCATGCAAATGTTCCCAGCGGAGGGACACACAACAGCGGACACTGAGCTCTGACCTAACTAAGTGTGTAGGAGCAGTCAGACTCCCGTCCTAAACGCTCCTCGGAGAATACGGTGTCAGAGGAGAGCCATATCTATCCACAGAGTCGTATTGATTGCAGCTGATAAACTGAAAAGCCTGTGATGCTTTATTGCAAATGAACCTTTGCCTTATTGTGCTCTGTCGAGAGATGCCAGTTTAATGAGTTCGTGAAAGAGCTAATATAACAACTGCATGGATAAGCATTTTTTAATGTTTCTTTTTTGAATTAAAGAGGAAACCTATTAGAAAACTGTGAGCAGAGGGAGTTTTTCTCTGATTTTAATTTTTCATATTCAACAGGTGCTAACTGTTGCATAGTAACAGGGAGACAAGACAACCTGTTCAGTAAGATATGACACCTTGGTGCTATTTTTAAATCATGCTAATTGTCTTTTCTGTTTAACCAAAGATGGTGTGATTTAAAAAAGTAAAAAAAATGAAGGTAAGGAAAGGAAACAGCAGGAATCTAAGTCTCTTTATATTAAAACCAGAATTAGATTTGCACCTGTGCGCAACCTGTCTTTTTAGAATAATCACTACCTTGAGGAGGAAGATTAATGGATAGTGGCATTTTTTCATGAAAAATAAGGTGACAGTTGCCCAGGGTGGTTGGAGAAGGGGAGTCTGTGAGAAAGCTTGAGTGGATGGCTGATGCACATTCCCCAGTTATAAAAAAAAGGATTTAAAAAGTGAGCGTTTTGTCACTCAGTGGTGCCCTGCATGATTGATTGTTTGATTTGAAGGGAAGAGGACTTCACAAAGTAGGCATTCAGAGAAGAAACAAAAATGAATATGTCAAATAAGGAGGACTTTAAAGTGTTTATCACATTTTAAGACAAGAACAATGGGAAACTAAGTAAGTAATGCTATCTTACATCAGGAGTCATCAAATGCAGCCCATGAAGCAGTGCTTTTGTTTTAAATTTGTAAAGCAGCCTGCAATCTAAAAGAGGTTGACTATGGAAATATTTCCCTTAATTAAATATTAGTTTGTAAAAATCTGCCTTCTGATGTTAACGACATTGAATTGATTTTACTACCATCCATCCATCCATCCATCCATCCGTCCATCCATCCATCCGTCCATCCATCCATCCATTTATCTCCAGCAGCCAATGAGTAAAAGGCAGGGTAAACCCTGGACAGATTACCAGTCTATCACAGGGCATCTTTGCATTAATGCACAGATATTTTAAATGATCATATTATTCACATAAAAGTGTTGTCTTTAGCATCCATACAGTCTAACCTGACCAACATACTTTGTTTTACTTTTGCTGAAAATCAGCAGCAAAATTTTTCTTGATTCAAACAGAAGTTCACTTAGGTATAGAACTAATAATCAGGATTTCTGTGCACTGAAATTCTACAGACTTTTCTGTAATTTAAAGTCCTTTCAATAAGGTTAGTAAGCTTCTAGTCATATTATAAATCTTTTACTTTTTTAGTGCTTTTCTCCCTTTCACTAAAAGCATCAAAACTCAAAACTCCCACCATGCATCATCAATCAGCATATGCTCTGATGCACTTACTTTGATGTGAATAGAAATCTGATATAGGTGAGAGACATGCAATTTAAAGCACACATTGGTATAACCTTGTAATTTTTTTTTACTTTCAGCTCGATTCGAAGCTGCTATCCCCTATCAAAGAACCCTCAACACATTTCTTTTTCTTTTTTATATTTTAAAATTCTTAGAAAAAAAGTTGAACAACCTTTGAACAAGCATGTCGATTGGTTCTCCTGGTAAGATGACAGAGAAAGTGTGTCAGGGTAACTGGAGCCGTGCTTGGATGAAGAACTAAGACTTAGCCCCCCTTACTTGTTTCTGTGCTTATATTGAAATTTCCCCCACTACAATAAAAAAAGAAAAGGAAAAAACAAACAAACAAAATATTTAAACCACTTTTGTAAACCACAATTGCCTGTTAGGACTGCAAGTTCTACCTTAACAGTTAGCTCAACTAATTGACTAACTTACATCAGCTTGTTTTGGTTTTGAGATGCTACATATGCACATAGGAAATATGTTTATATCATATATTTGCTTAAGTGTACATATACTTTTACAATAACTATAAACAAATGTTATACTTATAACTTTTTTAACTGCAATAGTCAATAATTGACATTATTTTAGCAGCATTCTGCTCTCTTGTTTTAAATCCAAGGCAGCTGGAACCTGTTATACATATTTGTTTTTTTATTTTTATGCAAATGTGGTGATACCTTGAAACCATGGCATTTCTACTCAAGGTTATAACACTTCCAGAATCTCCAAGTGTATGCATTTATTCGGCTCACTGGTGACATTATACTGTTTGCTAAGAATGCAGGGTCCTGCAGTCTTTTGTTCTCTGCTGACACTCAGGATGGAATTTTTCCAGTTGTTTATAGCAAGATTTAAATTTGAAATAAAGCAAAACACCTTAACTAAATCTGCGCCTGACTCCTGCTAAGATTCAGTCTTGCCCTGCTTCACCTGATGCATTTTAGGGGATAGATTTGAGGAAAAAGAAGATGGCAAAAAGGATTGCATGGAAGTTGCAAAGGTGTAGTTATTAAATTGCACACAATAGAAGAGATGTCATGTGGAGACTGTGTGAAGATGAGCTTGTTAGAAGAGCGATGGGATCAAATCTTAGCGTGAGTGCTGAGGACTAATGAGCAAACAAGCAACAGAGTCGGAGAAGGAGTGACAAGGACAGAATAGACAGCAGGACGACAGCTTGGGAGGAGTGTGACAGGCAGGAGAATGACATACGGGATAAGGCAAAGTGACACAAATGCCGCCAACCTAACCTTTCATGCACTCTTGCTCCTCTTCTTTTGTACTTTTTACCTCTTCTTCTCTTTTCTAGACCCAAACCCTTGGAGCAATGGACACCAAATGGGCAGCATGGAGACCAACGTGTTCCCTTCAGCAGAAAGCTTTCCACACCTAAGCGCCTCCACCAACTCCAGCCATCCACTCAAGCCAGGGCTAAGCCTGCAGAGTTGAAGTAGGGGTTTGCCTGGAGCTGTCTGCAGAAAACAGAGATAAGAAGGCCTCAGAGGAGTCAACGTGTTACAAACCAGTCAATGCGTTGAGCAATTAAGCTGCTTGAACTTCATCCGCAATGAAATATGATGCAGTGATGCTTGAGCAGTGGTTCAGAGCTTTTGGACGTGTGTGGATTTATCAGCTGGATATTTTGTTGAGGTTACGACACTTTGGGGCGCATTTCCGAGCTGGATCACTTTCCCCACATTCGTTTGTGGGCAAAAGCGAGTAATTGAAAATTAAACCCCTGGAGGCTAGTTTTATTTTATTTTTTTTTTTTCCGAAGGAGCAGCTTGTATGTTTTTCCTCAGATTTCCTGTTCTTTCTCTTACATTGCAGAAAAATACATTATGAAGCAGCACCATTCTTCTTCATCCTCCCTCAGTGACGGAGAGGGAAGAGGGACACACTGTCCAGAATAGATAACGAGTAAGAAGACAGCCGCTGAGAAAGAGGAGGGTGGGGTGGGGTGGGGGGGCAGAAAACAGAGGGACAGGTGGAGAAAATAACAGATAAAAGGGTACAGCCAAAAAGGAGAGAGTCAGAGAAAATAGCAGAATTAACTTGGATTGTCCACAATCCTCTTTTTTTTTTTTTAGACCTTCTGTAATTTGTCTGGGCTGTTTTGGGGAGTAGTTAACGCCATGGGTGGGAAGATTTCAGCCAGAGGTGAGGGGTGGCTTGAGCAGAAGTTGAGGTTTATGTCTGGTCTGAAGCTGCTGGCTCTGCATTGCTGGTGTTTGAACCAAACTATGGCCCAGTAAACAGACACCTGTAAGGATTGACAGAGAAGCTCTGTGACAGAAAGGAAGACAGCTACACAGCCTAAGTGTCAGGCAAAAAGGCAGCAGACACCCGGAGCTGGCAGAGCCGGCGTTCTGCATTTCATTGTCATTCCGCTCTGTTTTCAGAGGAGTTAAGAAGAGAAGAGAAGCATTCATGTGTTTGTGGCTCCTTCAGCATCCATCCAAGTCAGTGGCCCCCCCTCCTCACTGCCTAATATACAGCAAAGGAGGGTTGGTACTAAAAAGGAAATCCAGGTTGGAAAGAGAGAGGGTGGGAGGCAGAGAGAGCGGGAGAGAGCAGGTGTCAGAAATCCTCCCCTTCATCTGCTTGTCATTTACTTCTTTATGCTCGTTCGTTTTTTGGCAAGGCGATTGATTTTCTGATGCTGCCGTTACTTCTATAAGCCCTCTGCAGTCCCTGGGTGAAAGCAAGACTGAGTAGAGCAGAACAAGACCACAACAACAAACAAAAGGGAAAAGGAAAAGATGGAGCCCTTCTCATTGACTGACTTTTCAACCCCTCCTTTTCCTATTTGTCGAGATGGCCTCTTGTTATTTTTTCTCTAAGTAAAGGAAAAGAAGAAAAACACCCACCCAATCAATCCCTCATTCTGTTTTGTACACAAGGACTGAACCTCCCTTTTCATCGGCTGTTTCTCTACATGGATTATTTTTTCCTCTGAGTTCTAAACACTGGATTGCTCCAGATTTCCTCCATACGGCCTCCCCTCTAATGACAAGGGCCAATTCCTGTAATTCCCCCTGCAGGCATCCATCCGCTTCACCCCTCGGTCGAGGTGCAGGAACTCTGTGGACCCGGATCCCAGTGCCCTTGTTGACTCACCACCACAGCTATAATATGGCACAGTCCCTCTGATCCTGCCTGATTTATTCTGTAAGTAAACCCCTTTCTATCTATCCTTGTAAGTTTTCACATGATCACTACAGGTCATTAGCATTCATTGAGCTCTTGTATTGTAAGGAGTGGTCTGTCTTACTGCAGCGTTTGGTTTTTTTGATTCCTTCACAGCGGATTTGCTTTCCTGTGCTTCCTCTGCTTCGGGCAGAGAGCTCATATGTGTGTGTATGCGTGTTGGGGGTGTGTGTGTGTGTGTCTGCCAAACACTGAGGTTGATCTCAGATCCAAGCTTCTAAGAGAGTCAGTGTCAGAATAAGAGGCATGAGGTACTTTCCTTCAGATGTGTGACCCCCCTAGGGTTCATTTGGACTAATTAATGAGATTTTTGCAAATTTCTTAGGTTCTGTTTTAATGTACTTGCACTTCTGAGGCTACATTAGAAAGTGTTCGCATCAGCTACTATGAATGACTTCCTGACTGCTTCTTTGTTGTCTTGCAAAGGTATTCACATCCTTTGAATCTGTCTAGACTCTGTCATGTTACAGCCACAAACTTCAGTGGGTCTTTTATCGCGGTTGGATGAAATGAGCTAACATAAAGAGCATAATTATAAAGTAGATGGAAGAAAGTACATCTTTTTAACCTTCGTTACAAATTAATATCTGAAAAATCTGCTGTAAGTATATATTTAGCTTTCTTCATTCTAATACATCAAAATAAAACCCAGTGCATCCAGTAACTAGTAAAGAGAGCTGTTACTGCATGATTATTTCCTTAAATATACCCAGGTGTTGTGCTGAGAACTTAACTGGATATATCTTAAATGAGTTTTGAGTTGTATGCGTCCCTTCTAAAAAACTTGCCCATGTGAAACCTGAAAGAGCAGGATCTGTTTTTGAATGAGTTCTGTGACACAGAGCGCCACTTTACGGCAGTCTGAGCTTCCTTCAAACACGAGAGGTAACCAGGTTGAAGTTGTTGTTAGGCAACAATTCAAACATGACATTTACCTGATCAGACATATTCTTGGTTCTTCGATGTAGGATTTAATTTAGAGGGAAAAATGTGGCCTTGTTTTTATAATTAACTCAATGAATGTCTGTTGTTCCATTCGTACATACCTAAAATAAGATTCTTCCTGATCAAAATCACATTCCTAGACTGAACTGTAATAATATATTTTCTAAACTACATTGTTGCAGCAGAAACTGAACTTCAGAAAGTAAAAAACAAAACAAAATAGTAATAGTAAGAATTAAGTTTTATATACCTAGAAATGTTTACACATTTTAAGTTAGCATATCAGCTTGAATGATTATGTATTTATAATATCTGAAATGCTTTTTCTTCATGGTCAAAAATATTACAAATGCTGAACAGTAACAATAGGATTATCGAGATCTGAAATTAATTTCTAGACATCGAGAATGTTTATTGTAGATGTGAAGAATATCATTTTGTTTGAACTGGTCATTTTGACAATGAAAAATGTTTTTCACATATCAGGAATACATATCTAGTAATACTAATACATACCAAATATCTGTTGTGATCACGATACAATTACGGGTTTATTTCTTGAATGGCAGTAGATCAATGTATCTATTTAGGGGAAGTCACCTGGCAGAGTATAGAAATGTTTTAATAAATGGGACCTGTTGATAATCTCATGAGATTCTCCTTATGTTGATTCTGTCTGCTATCACACAGGAAATACTAAGTGTCTGTTTGCAGCCACTTCGGATGTTATTATTCCAATAAATAGTTGTTATTAGAGGTTATCAGTCCCATAGAATGGTTTTAGATTGTGCCAGTAGGCGCGGTAGGTTGTTATTACTGAATGAACCCTAATCCTAAGGGAATTACTTTTTATCCCCTGGGAATTAATCTATTTGCGTAATCTGAAAATTTCAGTAGTTCTTAATGTACTGTAAAATATATAAAAATGAGATGATCCGCATCTCGCTCATATTAAACAAACCCAAAGCAATTAATCTCATGTCCTGTCAACTGAGTTGTAGAATCCTCTCCCTATAAATATTTAATTCTCTATGAAACTGATCATTCTCTAAATAAGATCCTCGTCTAAAGGACATGTAATGTTTGTTTTTTAAAACATAATGTGTCTAACTGACTTAGTGAATGATCTTTTTTATTTTTATGTACCAGACTACGACAGAAATCTGATTAAATCAGGAAATAAAACAGTGTGATTGGCTGTAAGGAGAGTGGAGACAGAGGACACTCAGAGTTAACTGAACAAAACCTGCTCACGACAATCAGGTTTGCTCTGGGGAGAACGTTACTATGGCAACAGAGACAGAGGTTTCCCATATTTCGGATTTAGTGAGCCATCTTCGTGAAACGGACTTCTGGGTTGGAGAAAACACATGTATGGGAATTTTCCAATGTGTAAAAAAGCTACTCTCATCAGAAGAGAAGCATGGTTCAATACAGCACTGATGGCATCATGCAGGGGAAATATCTTTGTTCTAAAATAAACAAAACAACGAAAAGCTGCAAAGGAAAAATTGAGACAAGTCTGGGGGTTCATCTTCAAGTTAACCGTACAGCTACGATGTAATACTTTAAAAAATCAATCAAATCAAAAGATACTGATGAATTAAAATGAGCCAGTTGAAATTCAAAGACCTTAAAGCTTACTTTCATAAATTTCATTCTGACTGAACTTGAGCTAAAAAATATAAGTAACCTTCAGTCTTCTTACGTCCATAAAGGACTGGATACAAATACTTACTAATCTCTTTTAGTCTTTCATCTACAACAGCAATAAAACAAATTTAATATTGTGAATGTAATTCGAGTCGCAGCAGATTCAGCGTCATCTTCCTGCTTCCTGTTTGGACCTGTTCACTTCCTGTTTGGATTAACTGAGTGTGCAGCTGTTCAGAGGATCTCCATCTGAAGTTAAGTTATTTTCTCTGTGATATCTCTGTATCTAAGTAACTCTAACTGACTACTTTAAAACATAGCACCTTCTGCTGCACTTTTCTACTGAGCACTTGTCAGTTTCACACGGTTTTATTTCTGATAGCAAGAAGTAGCTAGCCTAGGCTAGCGCTAGCTTAGCATTGCTATGGCTTCTCTCTCTCCCTCCCTTGACTCTTTTCCAACTCTTCCTTCTTCCTCTCCTCTCTCCTGCTCTCTGTGTCAGATGTTCAGTTATTCCTCTGCCTCCTTTAGTGATAATGGGATGTGTAATAAGTGTAGTATTTTTGTAGCTTTGGAGGCGAGGGTGTCAGAGTTAGAATCCAGGCTTCAGGCTGTTGAACATCCAGGAGTTAAAGTAGGCCCCCCACGTAGCTGTCCTCCAAAAGTGCCTGAGCAGCCAGGCGATTGGGTAACTGTACGCAGAAAGCGTAGTCGTGGATCTCTGCCCACTGGTCACCACCAACCCGTTCACGTTTCTAACCGGTTTTCCCCACTCAGTGACACACCCACTGAGAAGCCCACTCTGGTGATTGGCAGCTCCATAGTCAGAAACGTGGCATTAGAGACACCAGGGACCATAGTCAAATGTTTGCCGGGGGCCAGAACGGGCGACATCAAATCCTACCTGAAACTACTGGCTAAGGATAAGGTTAAATACAGTAAGATTGTTATTCACGCTGGTGGTAATGACACCCGGTTACGCCGATCGGAGGTCACTAAAATTAGTGTTGCTTCGGTGTGTAAGTTTGCCAAAAAAATGTCGGACTCCGTAATTTTCTCTGGTCCCCTCCCTGATCTGACCAGTGATGACATGTTTAGCCGCATGTCGTCATTCAACCGCTGGTTGTCTAGGTGGTGCCCTGAAAACAACGTGGGCTACATTAATAATTGGCAATCCTTTTGGGGAAAGCCTGGTCTGATTCGGAGAGACGGCATCCATCCCACTTTGGATGGTGCAGCTCTTCTTTCTAGGAATCTGGCCACATTTATTAGTCCTCCAAAACCCTGACCACCCAGGGTGCAGACCAGGAAGCAGAGTTGTAGTTTAACACACATCTCTGCAGCTTCTCTACTGTTACCCACTCTTTACTCCATCCAGACAGTGTCTTGCCCACGACCAAATCTAATAAATTAGCAAAGATTCCCAAAGGAGTAAATCATGATAATCTAATTAAAATCAAAATAACTCCAATTGGGGAAAAAGTTAAAACAATTAAATGCGGTCTGTTTAACATAAGATCGCTTTCCTCTAAAAGTCTACTAGTTAATGACTTGATTTGTGATAATCACATTGACTTGTTTTGCCTTACAGAAACCTGGCTGCAGCAAGAGGATTATGTGAGCATAAATGAGGCAACTCCTTCAAGCTATTTAAATTTTCACATCCCCAGAAGTTCTGGGCGAGGAGGAGGAGTAGCAACAATCTTCCAGTCTGACTTACTGATTACTCCCAAAACAATTAATACCTACAACTCTTTTGAACATTTAACCCTTAATTTCCCTGATCCAAATTTCAAGGCAAGAAAACCTCTTCTTTTTGTAACTTTGTATCGTCCACCAGGTCCTTACTCTGAATTTTTAGATGAGTTTTCAGAGTTCCTTTCTGATTTGGTATTAAATACTGACAGGGTCATCATAGTGGGAGATTTTAACATCCATGCTGACATTGAAGGCGATAGCTTAAGAGCAGCCTTTAATGCTATCTTAGACACTATTGGCTTTGTTCAAAATGTGAATAGTCCCACGCATTCTCATCTTCATACTTTGGATCTTGTGCTGACATACGGCATAGAATGTGAAGAAATAATAGTATTTCCTCACAACCCTGTCCTCTCTGACCACTTTCTAATAACCTTCAGGATTACTTTAACAGAGTTCTCCTCCCCCAAAAGAAGGTTCAATTTTAGTAGATCTTTATCAGATAGTGCAGTTATAAATTTTAAAGAATCTGCTTCACTTTCTCTCTCCTCTGTGTCACTGAGCAGTGCTGCAGAGTGCAAAAGCTTAGCTTATTCCCCTTCACAGGTTGATGATTTTGTTGATGGGGTTGCTAGTTCTCTGCGTATTGCCTTAGACAATGCAGC